CGCTCTACCCAACTTCAAAAACAAACAAACTCTTTTTTTAAATTTTACTCCCCATTTCACTAGCCTTTTCTTGCAAAACACTGCCACTTATGGGAACGTTTTCTTGTCTTTTTTGAGTAAGCCACTTAATAAGTCCCTTGTCAACCTCTTCATGTGCAGATAATTTTAACTTCTTACATCTAACATTTGCTTTGTCATACGCTGATAAAATGTTTTCTCTGTTTTTCCATATTGTTGCAACAGTAGACTTCCCAAGTGCTAATTCCTTACAAATTCCACTCTGCTTTACTCCACTTTTTATTTTGTTAATAATCTCGTACTTTTCATTTAGTGAAAAAGCTTTGCATTTTTGTTTTTCCATTCTAAAACGATTTACAAACATAACGCGGCAAAAAACAAGTCACTGCCTGTTTCTCGCTCTCACTAATATAAACAACTCCGCCCGATTCGTGTTGCTGAGCGTGGAAGTTCGTTATAAACGGAAAGTGAATATACAACTAACCTAAAACGTGATCGTTATATCCGGAAGTTAGTTATAAACGGGTTCGTTATAACCAGTAAAAAATGCGTTGGCCTTTATGGACGACGTTTCAATTAAAGCAGAAAAGTTCGTTTTAACCGAAAGTTCACTATAACCGGGTTCATTATGAACGGACTTTACTGTAATATATAGGGTGTTGCATTTAAAATAAGCAAGTTGATGCCTACTTCCGGTTATACCGGAAGTGTGGCCATCTTGAAAATATTTTAGACCCTTTGCCCCCAATGACTTTGGCAGACTGTCCAATTTTGACATTCCTCCTAATTACAGTTTGCCAGATATCGATCGCGGCGATTCCCTGTGGGACACCCTATATGAAAAATGCCTGAGGAATAGCCAGGTAAAATACCGGACACATATTAAAAAACATGCTGTATATGTAGAACTTTTTCTTGTTTGTAAATCCAAAGTTTTATAAAAATCAAAAATTAAGTACCGTACCCATTCTGTTGCTCTTAATGATGTGAGAAAACGAAAGCATTCACAAATTATGACCTGGTTTGAATGTGGAGCTGCCCTTTAGGCCGCTTCTGCACAACATATCAAGCTGTACCAATTCAATGTTTCATTAAAATTGAAGATAGTGAGAATCAACTTAGTGTTCCGTCGCTCTTAATGGTGCGAACAAAGAGAAGCATCCACAAATCCTGGCATGATTTGAGTATGGGACTTCTACAGAACAAGTCCAGAACCCGCTCAAGATTCCATAGAAATCGAGCAAAATATTGATCCGAAAAGTAACATTTAATTTTATATAAAAAAATCTGAATTTTTTATATTTGTTGAAAGTTGTTTATTTTAACTTCATCTTCTCTCTCTTGCAAACGGGTTGGAACTTTGCTGTGAAAATATCCAGTGTGAACTCGAATGTTCGACATCGTGAGCAATAAAAAAAGTGAAATCGAACAGCAAACTTATTAAGGTATGATGATTCATCGAAGGGCAAGCAAATCGAGCAAGCTATTATATCATCATGATAGTTCTGAAGTTCGGGTTTGAAATGTAGAAAAAACTTTATCTTAGTATCGCAGTTTTTAATGGACATCGAACGGAATAAGTCGACGGTACTTTGTTCAAAGAGGGAATATATCTAATGCTTTTAGGATGTATTTAGTCGCTTGTATTTTATAATATTGTTGCATGTGATATTTATTCGACGAGGAACGACGAGGGAGTTTCTGGATTCTGGATTAGGTTTTTCAAATATCAAAATTTAATTTCAAGTCAGATATTATAGGTATGAATATAATACGAATGAGGTATCGGGTAGTTAACGGTGGAAACCTCCGGATTACGTTTTTACGATTTTACGATAAAAAATGGAACTTCACTTTTAATCGTAAAAATAGTTCCAGTTTTCAAGCTTCTAATTTTTTTGCTCAGTTTTTTCAACATACACTGGTCAAGTTTTCCACAGTTTTTAAGGGTGTTCTGCCGTGAACACTTCTTTAATTATCTTCGAAGCGGAGATATCAACTATTAGTGATTTTCTGTTGTAAATTAAACTTCATATTGCCTTCAAAGGTAACAAAAAAAAACCAGAATCCAGACCAAAGAGCCAAAAGGTAAGTAGGACTTGTTTATTGCTTTCTGATCGTCGATTCATGCTAGAGAAATTTAGAGGCCGGGATCTGTAAGACTATTTTCGCCTCAGCGCACTTCAGTGTGTAAATCGAGTTTTCTGAGAATTTTTAGGATCTGGATCTGGACGGCAACTTATTTAGTAGTAATAGATGGCAACCAGGGTTGTAGTTTAAATTTTGCAAATTTTATCCTGCTTTCATGTGCGACTTACTTACGAATTTATGTTGCGATTTTTGCGGAATTTACAAAACTGTTTTTGTTAAATTTATGATGCGGTTTTTGCGGATTTTATATAGTGGCTGAAGGAAATGATAATGGTCCATCAAGTCTCAGTAGCGATGATTCCTCAATATTTGGGGAAATGTGTGTAAACTAAAGAGTTTATCATATTCGATTCAAAAACACCTCACGCTCAAAGACTGGTGTGGTAGGATTCCAAGTCCCTTGTCATGATCTGTTGAGCTCTCCCGTAGGTAATTTTGGGTTGATTGGCAGTATTCTAAAGTTTTATGGCCTTCATCTTCATCAGCTCTGATTAGCAATTATTTTCGCCTTTTGCCAAAGTCGTGGTGCCATGTAGACACGCGGTTATCCCCAAACTGGGCCTTTAATATCCGCGATATGTCTGATGCATTCAGCCCTTCCGTGGCCAAAAACTTAATAATTATCCGGTGATCCACAAATGCAAGCACTGCTTTTTCGCTCATGGACATTTTAAAATTTGAAGTTTTTTATTAATCAGTGAAATTAAACTAATCAAATTAAAATTAATTTGCAATAAGGCAAAGTATAGGTAGATACTTTTCAAAAAAATCCTAAACGTTTAATTTTGATGCCAGATCCATCCAATTGCATATTTGAAAATATTTTTCAATTCTTGGCAGCTTTTTCTTTAGGTAATTTCTTATAATGCCAAAAATGCCTACTTTGCAACCTTCATCGAATTAAGAAACCTTGTATAAAACGAAAAAGATAAATAACTGATGGTTGCATTTGCGATTTAAAAGCCTCTAAAGAAATAAAATGTAGCAAAATCGCACCTACCATTAAGCTATCCATTTCTGTATCCAAGTAGTCCATACCATAGATAAAGACGAGTAGGGGTCCATACTCTAGTCGAAAAATATCTTGGTATATAACCTTAAAATTGCTGTTTATTATCAACGATAGTCAATATAGCTGTTCGGCGCATGACAAAATTCCATTTTCAAATGGCAGCAAACGTCAGAAAATGATTATTGATTTTAAAAATCGAGTTTCGATATTAATGTCCGGTACTACCGGTGACAATAATACGACAATACGGCGAAGGAAAAATTTACTTTTCAGAAAATGTGCAATTTTCCCCAAACACATGGAAATTATCCGGACTTTTTCGAAATCATAACGGCGCGAATAGCAGATGACCTCTAACATCCACCATTTCCAATTAAACTAATTCAACGAAATGACACGAGAATAATCGAACTTTTGAAAGCTCTCAAATTGAAAACAAAATGGCGAACTGAACTTTTATGTTTGAATGCCGTTGGTTTGCTGCTTGAACTTACCTCAGGTAAGCACATCTTAAATTTGCATGGCACCACTTTGCGTATATTAAAAGTATGCCATTATACCATAAAAAAGCTGTATTCTATGGAACCAGCATATAAAATAAATGAATTGATGTTAAACATACAAAAAGTAAAAACATATATTATTGTACAGTATCGCGTCTGTACTCTTGCAATGTTCGGTTTTGAAGCATCCGCCACCGTTGCGATAGATTTTAAAACAAGTGATTGTGGCTGCAGAACATTTTTGCTAAAATTATGACTTAGTGTATTGAGATTGCCCTTTCGGAAGAACACTTCACCAACGCCAGTTTTAACATTTTATACCCAGTTTTACATCCACACAGGGGCGGACCCCTGGGGGATATGTAGAAAAAATACAGTCTTCTGTTATATATGAAATTCCAAAAATGATCTTCGTTTTGTGCAAGGGTGGCGCAAGATTATTGCAAAATTTCATGTTTTCCGTCCCATTTTGCATGTTTTTCGGAAGCAAAATGAGCAAGAACGCTCATTTGTATATCATTCTAGACAGAATTAAATGGCCTTTTTAGAAAGTGAACCATGGATGGGGAAATGTTGGCAGTTTTCTCAATAAAGGCTTGAATTCAGGAAGTTTTAGATTTGCGTGTTTTTTTTTGAGTTGCAAAATCCACTTGAACATGACGCTGCTTTTTTCGAAGTTTCTCAAGAACCATTCGAGCCACAGAATTCGTTTTGGCATCGTTGGATAGAGAATTAAATGGGGGGGCTTGACCCCCATGACCCCCCCCCTGGATCCGCCCTTGCATCCACAAGGATTATTGATCCAACTATAAAATCAATATCCCACCTAAATAAGCTCGAATTATTAGCGATTTCTTCATGCTCTAGCCCTGGGTGGCGAATGAATGGGGGTGAGTTTAACCTAGATAAAAATACTCAAAAAGCCGATTGAGATCCGCAAAAATGTCACTAATTTTAACGGGAAACAAGGAAATTAAAGGTAAATAAAAAACAATATTAACTAATAATTCATAGATATTTCATTGAAAATAAGATTACTGGCTGGAATGCCAAATATATAAACTACGACCCAATAAATTGTAACTAATGTGTATGTAGATTCTATAAGAATCAAAGAGGCGAAAGGTTGTTGAAGTGAATAAAAGAGGCGGAAGAAGGACTCAAAAAATGGATTCCAAATTCAGTACATTTGCCACATATAAGAGCGTATTAAAATAGAAGCATTTTTTTACTTTAAAAATCAATGCTCATACTTTATAGTCGACTTCTACACGTATCAAAGGCTTATAAATCAAAAAAACAGAACACATATTACGTAGAGTTAAAAACTTTATTGGTTGTATTAGAAACTGACACTTTGGATTTGAAAAGGAACTTTACATATCATCTATTACAATACGAAAATAAAACTATTCGTGATTTTGATTTCATTCCTTCATCTATATATACAAGACAGGTGTCGATTTATTTCTAAAAAACCATTAGTCGCAAAACATGGGGCGGGACGTTTTTGGGCAAAATGAAGTTTTATCCTATTGTGAACAGTTATAATTTTTAAAAAAGCTACACGCAAAAGTTACAAATTGTCTCTTGGACTACGGAGAGTTTGTTACTTTTAAAATTTACTCAATTACCTTTACCTACTGCAGATTTAGCTCAATTATTATTAGCACAAACCTGCAATGAAAAATGAAATACTAATCAAAAATATATCGCCGCTTTAACTTTAGTAACAAGTGGCTTACTCAATAAATAGATTTACTCGAATTAATTCTGATAAACGGGTTGATATGGAAGCATTTTCATTTTATATGTATTTTTTGCTGAAATTTTTAGTAAATTTGATAAATTACCAAACTAGCCAGAGTCCAAGCATAAAAAAGTGATTTCGCTAAAAGTGGCCTCTAAAACTCTTATAACATGTTTATATTAACTCTAAACAACAACACTTAAAATGTGTAACTATGTAAAAAACTGTACAATGCTTTTAATTATACATATTTACAATTATAGGCTAATTAGAAAATACAGGAATTTTTATATTTTTTATGAGATCTGCAAAGAAAAGTATCCGACTATTTTGAATAATATTAAAACAAATTTGTCAACAAGTAATATAGTGTGCAACCTTATGATTAGTATTTGTACTTTCTAAATAATTAAACCATTTGATATAATTAATACACTACAGCAAATGAATAATGGAACATCATAATTGACCCGAAAGTACATTTCTGAAACAGTTTCAGCGTCCAGAAAGTGGTTGTTTAATTTTAATATTCAATAGTTTTTCGATAGGAAAACGTGGGCTCTTAGACGCGAAGATATCGCAAATATGCTTCAATTAGTATAAGGTCACATTATAAATTACAAGAAACACTAAACTTAAATAGAGAAATAATTGAATGCGCATAATTAGGCAAGTGCGCGTTAAGTAAAATAAACTGAAAACCCTCTGCATATCATGTTTACTATACAATCGCCAGCACGATGAATTGAGGAAAGCATTCGACAATTTTAAATTAATAGTTTTATCAAGAATAACATTCACCATTCACAATACAAATTATGCTGCAAAATACTTATCGTGAAAGGATAAAATCATGGAAAAATGAATGTCCAAATTTTTCATAATGTAAAAATAATATATTTCTCATATGTATGGAAACAAAGCCAGAAGAAATTTTTCAAAATAAAATTTAAAAAATCCTTAAGCTGTATGAAAACCATAAATAGTATAACTATCTGATTCAACATTATTTGCTTGGTTAGATCTACCTTAAACATAAAGTAACGCTTGATTTCATGAGAGTGAATTCGAATGACGAACAAATCTGACTTCTCTTCAAGTGACTAAAACTAAAAAAAGAACTATTTTGCAAAATACTATTAAAGCTAGTATAGGAATTGTAATATAAATCACTGAAAAATGTCTACAAAGCAAATTTGCAATACTAATAGATGATAAACGGTAATTCCATTGTTATTAGTAATAATTATTCTAGTTCATTTAGGAACAGCAACAAAAAAGTAACTTTTACAAAACGCAAATTCCGGTTTAAAATAAAGATTGCCGTTGCCGTAAGATTGAAAAACAAAGGTTATCGTTTTTAAAACAGGTCTCGTTGTAAAATTGTTATCCCAGGCCTAACAATTTACTTTTGAAAGTCTAGAGCTTTTTTCTTCAGGGTATCAGCCTAATCAACTATAGTGTGACCTACTAGAGATTACGCCAAGTCAATTACGTGTCGAACACACCGTCAATTAAATTGTTCAGAAGAATTCTGACTTAAATACGAAAATATTTTACGTATGAAAATAAATTTAACAACTTATGGGTGCAGCGTATCCTCAAAATTGGCAAGGTTTCTTCGTCATCGCTTGCAGCTAAGTTTCTTGATAATTATGATTCATCTTTATTCATGTTTGCTTTGTTCAAGTAAGAAGTCTAATGGAATCCTGTTGAAAGCTGATGTTTTTTCTTTCGCTAACTTGATAATTTGTAGCAAAATTTATAAAATCGGCTACTTACAAATATTTACAGAGATTCTATAAATATACAAATTATAACCTAATATAAATATCTTAACTTTTTACAATATACTGTTAATTGTACTGCAAAATTATGAGAGATTTTTTCTTCAAATTTAAAGCAATGCAGTTTTTACAGCATATAACTTACATAAACGTAATTCCTACCGAAACAAAAATTCATATCACAGACCGCTTTTCCGAAAAATTAACTGGCAGATGTAACGCAAACCAATCACCACCTTCTGCTTCAGTCAGTGAAACTGAAGTTTTCAAACGATTTGCGGCAGGCGAAAATTAATAATCGTCACTTAAAAACCTCTCAATAAAATTGCCAGTCAAATCTAAATCATACAACATACATAATACACACAACAAATTGCACAGGTTGATAAAAAAACTTCAAATATTCCAGCCAACATGGATACTTGAAATGTTTTTAGCCAACCTGTAAATTAATATTAAATTTGTGGATCACACTTGGTCATTGATGTAAGTATATCACCCAAAATGTCATTAGAGGGTGGTGGAGGTAACGGCTTTATCTTTATCTTAATAGGTTTTTTAAGAGGGCTCCCTTCGTTGCTCGAGCGCCGCTCTGATTTTGATGATAAAGAGCTCACAGATACGCTGCTAGTGGACTTTAATGTCGGTGAATCGGAATGATTAGTTGTATTCGCGGTATGCGAAATGTCAGTACTTGAACTGGAAATTTGTTTAAGTTCTTTGCCTGTTTCTCGGTTTTCGCTGGAATTATTGTGGTGTTTTGTATGTTTCTTTTCACTTGAGTTTTTGTTCTTGTCGCTCACATTATTATGATGGCTATGGCTTTTTTCTCTTCTCTCTTTATGTGAACTATGCTGATGTCTATGCTTGTCTTTACTCCGATGCCGATCTTTATCTTTCTCGTACCTATCTCTGTCTTTATGCTTGTGCTCCTTTTTATCTCGTTCCTTACTTCTCTCATTGTCTTTATATCGACTCTTGTCCTTTACCGATTTTTCATCACTACTACTGCTGGACTTCAGCTTTTCTTTTTCCTTCTCGTTGTAAACTTTCACTTTTTCCCCAATTTTGATCTTCAACTTTTCGAAATCAATTTTATGCTTCACTTTCTCCACATCTGCCGACTTTATCGAACAGTGATTTGTTAATTTGGGCGATTTCGTTTTGTGGTTCGATGTAGAGTTCTTGTGATTATTTGTTGTATTCTCTTGGGTCGCCCCAGTTAATTCATAGGTGTAGTATTGTTTTAATCGAACGTGCCACGCTAAAAAACAATTTGATAATTGATAAACAAATATATATGTATATATTAATATTGAGTGATGTAATTAGTTGGTACGTATATGACGCCTAAAATGAGCATTACTTACCAATACTAGTTACGGCAGTAACTGTTCGAAATTGGTGAATTATATTCCTGGGTAGAAAATAAATGTCGTTGTCATATAAATTAATTCTCGCATATTCAATTCCTTCCCTTCGAAGCTGATTCAATTTAGCATCTTCAATCCATTGGACACACTACAATAATATTCACTTTACACATCGATTATGTCGGGTGATTTAGAATGAAGCAAACAAACTCAAATAAAAAAAATAATTCATTGCCTAGTATTGTACTATTTAGCATGGTGGTTTTTACCAAATAAATACGCCAGATAATTGAACCAAAAATCCCAGAAAACAAAAAAAGTTTAGCGACAAATTCCTGTTAAAATATTGAACAAGTAAGATCGGTGACTTACTTGTGATATTGGGGGCTCATGTAAATCCAACTGCAATTTTTCGGCCAGTATATCGAAGTACTTGGCCGAAAACGCAACAACATCCTTCGTTATCCTGTTTATTGGCCCATCAGATTTTCCTGCATGAATCGCCTTTAAAATGCCCACGGCCGCTGTCGTTTTCCTATCAAGACCAGCTCCAACGTGATCTGCATGGGCTCTAGTTCGGTCCTCAAATAAATGCTCACGTGCTTCCGACATTCTTGGTAAATACTGCAAGTTTCGCAATTCATTTATTCCTGTCCTGAAATCAACAACGATTGGAATAAACTAGAAACAAACTGCCGAAGGTCATACCTTTTTCTTTTATTTGGTGTTTTACTGTCGGCAGTTGGAACAAGTTGTTCACCAGGTCTGGCCCAAATAATCGGCCCATCATTACTTTCACTGGGCCTCATTTGGTCTAATATGGATAGCGAACCCCATGGCATTGTCTAAAATAATTTTAGCTCAAACTAGTATTATTTCATGCAAAGACAATTTCTAACCATTTTCAGAAATTGATTTTCCTCTAGGAGATCCAATATATCAGGAAAATACCCGCCTACTTCCTCATGGGCAGTTCCTACAATACTGATCTGATGCAACGGACCAAATCTCACTGTTCCTGATTCATAATGCTGACAAACGTTTCTATTGTAAGCCGACAAAGTGGTTGTTTCAATATCGGAACTTTTGCTCAGAAGGCCATTTTTCACTGTTAAATTTGGGTAATTTTCAGCCATATACTCCAGGATATCTGGCAAATAAGTAGCTGACCCATGAATTACCGCTATCACAAATTTCGCATGGCCATTTTTATCTTCTTCAAATGCTAGTCTGAACCATTCTCGTGCAAGCTCCTTAATTTCACTTGAACTGAGATGCTTTATTTCATCTTGATACATTCTTAATATATTGGCGCCCCCATTAGTATGAGTTTCCAGATGAAAATATTTCCGATACCTCAAAGAGAGCTAAAACATTTTTAATATACATATATTTTTTAACATGCATAAGTGTAGGTAGATAGATACCTACAGAAAAACCTATATATACCTATATAAAAAGTACTGATGCGTGACAAGGAAAACGTTTTTTAATAATTACAAAAACATATAATTTGTATACTTAACCAAAAGCAGAATAAATAGACCCTTAGATCACTTTATACGTACATCATCAGGGGGGAAACTGTAGTTGCCATCAGTCAACAATCTTGGTTTGACATCCCTATATTTGGAGCTTGAACTACTAGAATGCTTCCTACTACTACTAGTTTTACTGTTTTTTGAATCATATTTACGACTGCTAGAACGACTATGCCTTCTACTGTGATTATCCTTGGGTTTGGAAGGTTCACATTTAACCGTTACTTTATACTGTGAAAAGTCAATTTTTCGAATTTTAATATCGCCGTTGTTATTATCAGCTGAATGTGACCTTTTAACATCTCGCATGGAAGTTGAAACTAAATCAACGGAACGTGTTCTACTTTTTCTAGGCGCTACCACACCTGACACAGCACAATACTCAGATTTAATGGACTTGATTGATTTGTGTCTATTCGGATCATTTTCTATAGCTTGCAAAACCTCAATTCCGTTCTTGAAATCTACTAAACCCTCATTCAACTTGTTTAAAATCATTGAACATCTTCTCTTCTTACTAGGTGGAGCAATTAGCTCATCTTCAACTTTCTCTTCACTCTCAGCTTCTAGTTTAACTTCCGAATGGGGTAAATCAACTTTATCATCGACTTTTATGTGAATATTTATAGTATTATTATTAGTAGCTGTTGGGTTGGGAATAACAGGATTTTCTGTATAGCTTATCTGACTTTCAACGTTGAGTTTTTCCTTTGAATCGATTACACTGGGATTTTCAACAAGCACTTCTTGGGAATCGTTTGTATGTTCACTTGAATATTTTAATTTGATATCAGGCGTGGCAGGCGCATCTTCACAAATCATTGGTGCACTCTGGCCGTTTAGTTTCTTATTGTCTGCTTGTTCCGACCCTGAACAATTATTTTTTATAGGGGTTTCCTCGTATGATACAGTTCCGTTACATTTTTTCTCATCGGTAGTCGAATTCATTGAAATATTTTGAAAAATACCTTTCTCATCAGAAATAATACTTTGAAGAAAATCGTTTGACTCGGAGTCAGCATGGATTGACGGAGTTTTTGGAAGTTCAGATAGAAATATATTTTGATGATCTCGATTATTGAGCATCGTTTCTTTTTCTGAATGTTCCATTGAACCTTCACCATTGGTTCGAGGTACGAAATCCTCCACCAAGGCATCTCCTGAAAAGACAATGAATAAAATAACCCGTGGAATAAGTTTTGCGGGTTAATTCCTTAAACTACCCAACACGTGAAGAGTTTTAACTAGCACTAGATTTAATTACTAGTCGATGGCCGTGTTATTTTGCAATTGCAATGCCAATTCTTGAAATATATTCTTGTATTTTGACAGAGTGATTGTGGTCGGATATTAAACTATCATTATGGACTAATATTATTTGAGTCCAGTAATACCCGTACTTTAATCAGATTTTGAAGGAGCTTAAATTCAATAAAATTAGTTCATTTGGAATAGGCTAAATTAAAAATACTGGACATCCTGGTGAAGGTTTGAAATGTATTTAAGTCCTGGAAATTATTTTTAACAATAATAGTACAAATAAATATTGAAATATGTCTACGATCAGAAAACTTATTGAGTTGAAGTATGAGGAGATAAATAGTCCTGTCTTTCAAGCATAAATCTGAAAATTAAAAGATCAAGGAAGGAATAGGTTAATTAATTGCACATGGAGAAAAGTTTTTTTATTTTTTAGCTGATAAACTACGACTAAAATTTCGCAGATAAAAAGTTGCTCTTTTTACTACATCTATAAAAGCCAAACGATACATTTCCGCATCTATGTTTGTAGGAACTTTTTTACAAAATTACAATATGAAGTATTGCCGCGTTCTTTTTAAACACCCTGTACATCTAATAATTAACAAGCAAATCACATCACTCAAGAGAGATCCTGCAAAGAATTTAAATTTCCCGCGCGGGTTTTACCCAAGTTGAAGATAGCTGTAAACTAAACTAATTTAATAAATGTGTTTTAGTGAAACACTAAAAGTAGATATTTTAGAATAACGCTTTTACAATAATTTCCACACACGCGAGTTTACACAAGTTACTGTGAGATTCGGTTTTTTATGAGTAGCTCAAATGTTAAAGAACCTGCGGCTGTGTTAAAGAACGCGTGCTTTGGAGATTCACTCAATATCATATTCATGTAAATTTATATTCAATTATCAGTATTTCTGTTGCTTTACTTCGATCGGATGGATGGTTCGAATGAGGAAAATGGGGACAAAATACTACTGTAACGCCTGATATCTCCGATACTACGCGTTTCAGGGAATAAGTTTGTACCACAAAAGAGCAACAGTTTATTAACGCACAAATTATTTTAACTCCATTTCTATTTTCTATCTTTTGCTTCCTACTGTAGCAAAGGATTGATAGTTATCGTGATGCCCAATAGCAAAAAAAAGTAGCACCATTTTTCTGCAATCTATAATGGTATAAAAGTACCTATTCCTTAAACAATAAATGTTTATTTGGTCGGTTAGCTAATACAATGTTTGCAATAAATAAAAATACCATTTAAATGGGCTACTAACGAAAATTTCTACGAAATATCTTTCCAAATAACGCGAAAAAACCCCACTTTTAAAAGAGTTTTTTATTGGGCGACATTGTGCTTGGCTGATTTCCTGTGTTGCTCTAAAAATCCTTTCTCGTAGTTTTTCGCCGTAGGTAAACTGTTTCTTTCAAAGAGCCCCAATAAAAATAATCTAGTGGATTTAAATCCGGCGAGCGTGTTGGCCACAAAAGAGGAGTTCAATCCATCTACGTGGAAAAACGTTATTTAGGTGTTCTCTTACAATCAATTCATTATAGAAAACCATCATGTAACCACATTTGTACTCTCTTGGATAGACAATGTCTTCAAGTAATTCTGGTAGCTGATTTTGCTAAAGTTGCAAATAATTTGCAGCATTTAAATTTTTGGGTAATTCTACCGGTCCTATAATATTGATGTTGATCATCCCTGTCCAAAAGTTGATTTTAAATTGACGCTAAAAATTATTTTCTTTGAAAGCATGTGGATTGTCCATCTGCCGACTGTGAAAGTTTTGCTTGAAGACTCTTCTGTCCAAAGAGTGCGATCAAAAAAGTTATGTCTGAACTCTTTGGACGTGATATGGGATTACATTTAGGAATGTTTTCCGGGCTTTGACGCCGTGGTCTATCGGAATTTCTTCCTGACGTTTCGTCCACAACTGCGGTGGACATTTTCAAAGGCGATGAGGCAGTGGGCGAAGTGAACTCCCGTGCTTTCCGACTAAGACTGACGTCAGGAAGAAATTCCGATAGACCACGGCTTCAAAGCCCGGAAAACATTCCTAAATGTAATTTAACCGACCGTGAAAGCCTTCATAGTGTGATATGGGATGCATCCGAGACCACTTTAAAATTCAATGTAGCACGATGTGGTTGGATCCCTACCATATTTCTTCCAACATCAGATTGATTTCGAAATGGAAATCGTTCTCAGAAGAGTAGTGATGCATTATAGCACCTCCACACACGATAGATACAATGCGTTTCTGCGTCTTCTCGAGGGGTGTACCGCACAAATGGCATAAAATTATAACGCAAAATATCATTTAAGAAAGGCTGGATTATTTTTCAGCAAATTGATAAATGTTAAAATTTGTAGTTCAGTAGATAATCCAATTAATACACTGGTATTTTTTGCAATGTGTCGTTCCAAGTCGATAAATTGCGACGAAACGGTATTATTTGGTGGAAAAATTTTACTTGTTTCAGTTAACTGGCCAAAAACATTTACTGCTTAAGAAGTATGTTGCTATTATATATGAATATGCTTGAAGATAGCTATCAATCCTTTGCTACGGTAGGGAGCAAAAGATAGATAATAGAATTGGAGTGGAATAAAGAATTTATTGTGTATATTTTCCTGACTGTATTTCAACTTAATTCAAAAGAAATTGCTGGGTTTCAGTCAATTCCATTGTTTACCATTTAAAATATTACAAAAACGTTTCGGTGTTTTTCTCCACCATCATTAGTTTGCCACCAAATATATATTCACAGTAGTTATTAGTTTAAAGGAAGAGCTCTGTTAAAATATACATACTAAAATACAAATTACAAGCATATTAAAAAGTATATTAAAATCGTTTGAATCTCTTGGGATTACAGGTGATGAGTCACGACAATTATGTTCGGGAAAATACTAGTTTATTGTTTAGAGATTTAAATTTTATTTACATGTATGGTTGTTTCTACCTCCATATTTGGCAAGCCATTGAAAAATCTTTACTTCGTCCAATATCGAGCGAAAGAATAAAAAAAACTGTTTATAATATTTGGCATTTCTTCAATATACCAGGTGTTTATATTTTATGTAATTGATTGAATTAGTGTATATAGTGTTCGTTTAATTAGTGTATGATATATAGAGCTAAGATTGTGTGTGCCTGATCTAAAATTCATTGCATCCTGATGTTTTTTAATTTGTATCATTTCATGGATTCTTCTCTAATTATAATTGTCTTCTTTGATTAATATTTTTGTGTTGTCAAAATCAAAACTATGTAACATTTCTTGCGCAGGTTGTGCTAATGCTGTTCCATTTTCGTTAAACTTTCATAAGCTATATTTATGTTCGTATATTCTTTTCATTAAATATTGTCCTGTTTTACCTATGTATGCGTTGTCACAGTTCAAACAGTCAATCTTGTAAATTACATTAGGTGTGTTTAACTTATCACTTTTAGGCTTAAATTTTGTGAAACATTCTTTTGCTAAGTTGTTTTTAGTTTTTTCTGCTATAGTGATATTATGCGGTTTTAAAATGTTTTTATTTTTGTGTTTTAATTAAACCGAAACGTTTTTGTAATACTTTAAATGGTAAACAATAAAATTGACTGGAACCCATGAATTTCTTTTGAATTAAGTTATAAAGAATGTGTATTAAAACAGAAATGTTTCTGTTGCAATGTCACATAAAGGTAACAGTACGAAATATCAAGTAATATCAGTTTTGGTCGATCTTCAAAAAAGTATCAATATCTCGCAAACCATGATGTTTTCCTTTATGCAATTTTTCATTTTCTGACCTCCCACGTATGGGCCTTTCGTCAGGCGAAGGATTGCCGGAGATTTACCGGACACCCTGTATAGCATACGTTTGCTTTGCGTTTTGTTAAGTCGGTTGATTTTACTTAATATGTTACTACTTGTGCAGTGAATGAATTGAGCTGAATTGAAACGGAAGTAGTAGACTTTTTTGAATGCATGGTGCATGATTGCAAACGAAAAAGTGGGCTTGGGAAAGACTGGAGCTGGCATAGTTGTAAAGCATTCGGGAGCTACCTATGTCTTAGGAAAACAGTATTATCGACGATGTTAACTGGAATGTTTACATGAAAATAGGACTTACTACTTCCATTGCTCCCCCCATTGGTCAAGTCAAGTTCCTCATGAAAATTCCTTTCTGGGATATCACAATTACACTGCGAAACAACTAAGTTACAGACTAAGCACTGATCGGAAGCTGTTAGCTTCGCCTGCTTTTCCAAAAAGCCCTTGTTTTCATCCTCTGTGGATGTTTCCTCGTTGGACGCCATAATTCGATTTAGAAAAGCCCGGCCACTCACTTATTTCGCATCAAAAAACACTCCAGAAATGCTAACAGCCAAAAACGTAGATCCGACACTATTTTCACATTTCCGCGACTATTACGGCCCGACACTGGCAAGATATTTGAATTTCATTAAAAAAAACACCAAAATCCTAAACATCGCAGTCCTGCCGCCATGCTGCTTTTAAACCGGGCTTCGTCTGTAATATGCACATTGGCGTACTCTCTATTTACAAACTTTTCCTAGGTACTAATCAACTACAATTTGTCCTAAACCTGACGCGATGGAATGCGGTTTAAGAGAACTGCCTTGGTACAAAAATTCTTGAGCTTTTAGCAATGTGTTAATGAGAAATGCGAGTATTTAGTCAGCAGAAGAAGCAGGAATTATTGATTGGAAAGCACGCTACTGTGGATTCTGTCAGGTTGCAATTGCAATGGAAACTTTGCGCCTATAATTTTGCGAGAATTAAACGATTTTTACCCTAAATGAGGTCAACTTCTAACTGCAAGCTTAAAATAATATAGCAGTCATATAGGTACACATTCTTATCTAATGATCAAAACAATTTCAATAAAAATAGTGCGTGATTCCTGTCACGTATGCCCAAAGCGGGAAATTTGAATGAATCATCCAGAATCTCTGAGCTTGAAGTATTCCAGATTACCAAACTTGGAAGTTTTCGCCATATCAGCAACAAACGGTCACCTTTATTCGATTTGTTCACCCAATACACGTTGGGGTGCGTGAAAATAACCACAAAATTTTGGCGGTAAAAAATCAACCTAACGCACTACACACGTAGTTCATGTAACATAAAATAAATCTTGTAATCGCGTGGAATAACAATTTGCTAATGACACAGCAACAGTAGTTTCCTCACCCTAAAGTGCGCCTATTAACGCTCATGGCTGTGAATGATTATTCTCATAAAAAAAGTTGTAAACCTAAGCTACTTTCCCTTTTCGTTAAAAAAACAAATGGTAACTTTGAAAATGTCTGTTAGCGGATTAAATAAAACCAATAAAATTAAAACGATTGGCATCTGTGCGTTCACTAATACTTGAGTAAGTTCAGCAAGCAATTCATTTCCATCACTTTATTTCACCATAACATATTGTACATTTTTAAAACGATCTGCGAAATATTGATTATTACTCTCCATATCACAGCCATGTGAAAGTACGATGTTTGTGATGTATTTGCGAATTCGTACATACCTCAATATTACAAATTAGGAAAAAATTATCTAAACTCAGTAAAATTACTTTTAATGTCACTTCAGTATAAATACCGGTTCATCGAAACTCTTAATTGTTAAGTACATTAGTGTTGACAAAATAGAAAGATGATTACATTAAAACCAGACAAAATATCGTTTTCATAGATTTATTAAAAATTATACAAACTGCATAGCGAGATAAATGAAAAAACAATGTGAAATGTGTGACCTAGATGAAAATCCTTGAAAATCAAGTGGCTTAAATGAAATGTTGCATAAAGAGTTCTTATTTAAGCCGTATGGCAAAACTTACTTCCGGTAGATGACAAACATTATCACCGACCAGGACGTGCTTTGTACAGGCCTACAAGTGCAAGCAAGTCGAGCAAGTTTATAGTGCCGGTGTAGTCTTACTCGACTTTCAATTGTAAGTTTGTACAAGCGCCACTTAATTTAAGTGGCTAATAACCACCCAGGACACAAATACAAATTAATCCGTAGTACCAATCTAAAACTACAGATTATTTGTTACTCCATTCATCGATCCTCACAAAAATATTTATAAATAAAACAAAAATCATGAATAAAATTATTATTAGGATCGATGAACGCGAACATTGGAGAAATTGAAAACACCAAACTTAGTACCAAAATTAGTACTTTCAATTTCAACTTTGCAACTATCCACTTCAGAAATCTGAAATATACCAGAAAAATTTACTATTTACTTGCAAAGAAGTTAAGAAACAATTACTTGGTAGTTCAACAATTGAACGATCGAAACCACATTTTTTTGCAATTTCGGTTGAATTTCAATTTCAATTTATTGAAGTCTTTGAATATATACAACATGGGTGGCAAAGCATTCAATTAACTTTGCCACCCATGTCGTATATATTCAAAGATTTCAATATATACGCTGTAAGTGGTGATTTTCGCATTACTTATGAAGATAAGGAAGCGAAAATCCCCACTCGCCGTAGCCGAAGGGCGATTAGCCTAGTGAGGGGAAATCGCGCTCATCATTGACCTTGGGAACTCTCGGAGCCTTTTCGTCAACCTAAAAAAAAATTGGTAACTACTTTAGCCAGCAAATAAATATGAAAACTTTACCTGTTCTTCGCGGAATTTTCTTTCCTCTCGAGGTCCTTCACGTTGAACGGCATCTCTATCGCGCGGAGGTCCACGCGGACCAACTCCACGAGTTCCACCACGTCCACCTCTGCCAGTTCCTCGTCCTCTACCGCCTCCAGGGCGCCGACTATCGTTAAACTGAATATCGATTTCCAAGACATGTTTCTGCCGTCCAACTCTTTGTGGGTACTCGGACACATCGTATTCTTCGTCATCAGATTCCTGAGCCAATATAAGAAAATAAAATTATGCAGTTGTGTAAATTTTCCTGTAGGTAAAACAGTTGAATTGATTTCATGGGTATGTTAACATACCTCTTCCTTTTCCTTTTTCTTCAGTTCAAACATTTTTTTCCATTGAGATGGGTCCTCTCCTTCACCGGCTTTGCGGATATTATATTGCGGCTTAATACGTCCAGCGCGTTGAGCTTTCCATTCGTCAAGGGTCAGTTCTTTAGGCTCCTCTTCAACTGGCGTTTGATCGGCGTCAAGTTCTTCCCTAATAATTTAAAAACCATAATATTAATAAACATTTCATAGAAGCTTAGTAGTCATGTAGCACTTACTTCTTCTCGGCATCGTTTTGTTGTTCAGGCTTGTCAGATTCTCCCCAGGTTTGTTCGGCATCAGAGTTAGCAGGTCTCTCGGCTTCAGCTCTGCAAATAAAAAATTATAACGACGCTTTTAATCGATTTGCCTTTACTTACGCAATAAGGTCTTTAGTTGATCCCCAGTTATGAGCGCCAGCACCGTCCCGTTTTTCTACCGGTTTAACTCCTCTGTAACCATGGCTGCATTAATAAGGTATCGTAACTATCGTCATTTTTTCGATTAATTATGTTACGTTATCTATTTAGTAAAATAAACACGTCGGGATCAAGAAATTTAGAAAAATTGTCGCAATCGTTTCAAAGGCACGGTAGCAAAGCGGCGCGAGACTAATACAATAAAAATCTTACGTTTTGTCAGATCCAGATTGTCTATCAAACTCGCGCTTTCCTCGTCTGTCATCAAAAGTTCTCCTGGGTCCGCGTGGTCCTCCTGGTCGATTTCCTATCGGTCTGCCTTCTCGTCGTTCTCCACGTTCGCTTCGTTCAGGACGCTCGCCGCCTCGTTCACCCCTTTCAGCACGGTCGCGATTACGATTTTCATACTCAACATTATCAGATGTTGACTTTGTTAATCCGGGCTTGGAAAATTTAGGCCTGTTTTCACGATCACTGTAAAAAAAATGAAAGTTAGTGTGATTCACTATGTATTATGATGCTCATTGTTTTCGGCACTGTTAGCCTTCAGCCACACCAAAATTAGAATTCCTTTTTAAAGTACGGTATATTAAACAGTGAGTAAAAATCTTAGTTGGTTCATCATCAGCGAGGAAACACCTCGCGTTCAACCTGAGTTGGTTTGAGTCTAATTTCATAAAAAATTCCTACATATTCTTGTTGCTACACAGAGGTTGCGATTGTGTCAAAGTAATAAGAAATGAATCTACACCAAACCTTTTCAAAAATATTCTTGGACACTCCCAAGATTTTTTTCACTGCAACTGTTCATGCGAGTTGAAGATAAATTTAAAATGCAGCTCATTGTCCTTTAATCCTAAATAACTGCTCATTTTGGAATGAAATAAAATGTAAAATTAGAAAAAACACACACACAACCGTGCATTAGTTATCCCTTGTTACTGCAGCATTGAATCGCAACTGCATCCATAACTCGGCTTAACCACAAAACCCACGAGTGTTGGAAAATAAACACGGTCCTTCAAGCACAATATGAATGAGAAGAACGGCGAACTGAAATTGATTTATGAGACACATGAGTGACTAAAGCAGGCGGACGCATCAAGCGCCTGGTGGAGAATCAGGTCCCATTCAAATCCATCAAGCTAGGAGAAAAGGAGGCAGGCATTTTGCAACTCGATTTAATTCGATCAGCAAAGGAATAACGTTAGGCGTTAGCTGGTTGAGAGATATAATTCAATTAGCCAAGTTGACTCTGATGAAGGCCAGCGAGATTTATAGCAGATAAGACGAACAAGTAAACGAGCTATTGATAACAGCTGATTTAAATATCCACTGCAAAACTTGAAATCGATTTACGAAAAAAGCAACGCAATAATAAGACTAAACACTTCCACATGGGTCAGTCAGCGTCCACGACGCAAAAAGCACATGGTAAAAATTAATTACAAGCCAAATAATTTGGAAGTCAGCGAGCCAAACAAGGAAATTGATTTACGCAATGCCTTGGGAGGCATTTTGTAATAAGAGATTACTGTACTGGGAAGGCAATGTTGTACTGGGAAGGCAACACGAAATTCGGTAGAAATCTGCAGGAATATCTACGATACACTAATTTTTTTGGTGAAAAAACTCAAGCGAAATGAATAAATTCTTGGCACGGCACTTACCGGTTTTCTGAAGGTCCATTGTAAGGTCGGTCCTCACGATTTCGGCGATTATTCCTGTCCTCGCGGCTTTCGTTAATATTAGATTTAAAAGGCCGATCGGCTTTTCCATCGGCGCTAGGTCTGGGAGCTGGTTTATTGTCTGAAAAAATCACTGTTTGTCTAACGCGCCAAGAAATTGCAGTAGCATGTGCTTATGGCCGACGAAGCTTGCCACTTACCATCGCGTTTATTTTCTTGATTTTTTGAGGGAATCAAGTCCTTTATGACCTTTTTCTGGCCATTTGCCGTCGGTTTTGCCTTAGGTAGTTCTGATTTTCCTTTGTTTTCTTTCTCCGTAATTTTCGTTTTCTTCTTCAGTTCTTTTTCGGGTTCGTTCTGGAGTAGCGTTTCCGGCGATTCCAATTCATCGTCTAGGAGAGCATACCTATTGGCGACACCAATTCCATAGGAATTCTCCATGGCGGTTAAACGCGAATAAAGTCTTCACAACTTTAAGATGTTGGAAGATTTGTTTTGGCTACTTCAGCCTCTAAATGTACAGCACTCATTCAACGCAATATGGCCGGTTGCACGAGGATCGACGATTGGCATTTCACACGTTGTTGCCAGTCTATCACTCTTTTGGCGGATGACCAAAATCTTTTAAGTTGACTTAACTCACTTCCAACTGATTTGGCCAGTGTGAACAAACTTGAGAGCTTTACACGTTTAAACAGAATAATCCTGCTATAACATATATTAAAAACAGATTATTTAGTGCTAACAGTCCTGTTACCTTCATATATCATCCCAGCAAAATAGTGTCTACGAGAAAATGAGCAATTTGGCAATCTTGGCTACCTTGCGCAGTAGCGAGGAGAGATCATAGATGGTATAGGCGCAGTTGCCAATTTTGGAAAACTTAGGGAAATTTCGGAAAAAAATATGATGTATATATTATGAAATATATGTTAAAACTGTTTAAAACACATTTGAATAGGGCACAAGGTAAAGTTGTATAGAAATATTTGCCTTCAAGTTTCCGGTTTTGCAAATCACTATAATTTATTTGTACATTTGTTCAATTTCATTTTAGTATAACAAATATGAACAATTTTCCGAAACCGTTGTACAGGGTGTGCCATTTTCGACACTTTTAAAAGCATTTCCGTAATTGTTATTGCTATCAAAAGCCAGTTAGGGGTCAATTTGCTCTGTTAAGCTCAAGCTTATAATGGTAAAATCAAAATTTGAAAATTTTGGATTGCTGAGAGACTTTTGGAAATGTTAATTTCAAAATAACCCTATATTGTCTCAGTTGGAAGAGATACACAAATGTTGTATGTGAAAGTTTTTTTTAAATTATTATTGATTAATGTGCCGTTTTCAGTATACGTATTCGCGATCAGGTCAAAAAGGTATCGGTTCTAAGCTAATTTTTTTAATGGAACACCCAAGCTATTGGAACTTTGAAGCGAAATAAAAGATTCAGATTAAGAGTTAGAAGAACTAAAATCATCGCAAATGTTCGGAAACTCATCCGTTGTTTTCCGACGAATGCACATTTGACTTCGTTTTCGAGGTTGACAACTGATTTTTAGGCATTTATATCTAATATTTAACAGTTTTATTTCTCCAAAGGAAACATGAATTCTTCGATGAATTTGTTCTCGGGATGAAATGACTTTTTCTTATTATAAATTAATAATTTTTTCTACATGATTCCCCAACGATAAAATCTGGATGTTTTAGATCCGGTGATCGTGGTGGCCACTTTATTGGTCCATGTGTGTCTATAGTTTCTGAAATTAGTATTCAAAAATCCTCTTTTTCCAGGAGCGTTTTTTTCTCAATAAGTTTTCGATTTAGGAAAACGAATGTATGCGTTTTCTGGGCAAAGAAAATCGCTGTAAGTTTGAAGCTTCCAACGCTTCGCACGACTTTAGACGTTTAAGAGCATTTCCAGATTTTTTCTATTTTCTTTCATTTTGTAAATATGTATTACACCCAAGGGCGGATCTAGGGGGGGGGTCATGGAGAAAACTGCCAACATTTCCTTATTGATGGTTCACTTTCTAAAAAGGCCATTTATTTCTGTTTAGAATGATGTACAAATGAGCGTTCTTGCTCATTTTGCCTCCGAGAAATGAGCAAAAACGGG